TTGGTGTCTAGTGTGTGGTGAGTGACTTTTTACAAGGTCTGGTAGGGATAGGACATGGCTTAATCTAGTTTTAATCTAGAAGAGGAGATCAGATGCAGTCTTAGAGGAAATTCTTTTCTGCGAGATTGGTGAGGCAGGGGCACAGGCTGCCCAGAGAAGCTGGATGTGGCCCTATTCCAAGCTTCTAAGGTGTCAACTCTGGCACGGCAGGTGGTTGGGATTAGTGCAGCTTGTAAGGTCCCTTCTAACCCGAGTTGTTCTGTGATACTTTGGTAACAAACTCTGCTGCTGTACCGTAGCCACGACCTTAGCGTCGTATCTTCAGTGTTTGTCTAAAGCGCACAGCTCCAGGGTCTGCTTCTGTGCGACAGGCAGCAAGGAAAGTGTAAATGATGTGCGTAAAGACACGTATGTGATTCAGTATGTAGCTTGGTTGAAGGAACAGAAAGGAAACCCCAAAACATCATGGTAGTGAGCTGCCCAAGCATATTCCTTCTAGCGTGGCTTGAGTGTTCGTGACTGCAGCTGAGCTCAGCTTTAAGCTCTCTCTTCCTTTGGAGCCTTTTTCACTGCAGTGACATTTTGGCTCCTTTTCTTCTCTCTCCAGAGAGAAAACCTGCCTGCTCCCATTTTCCCAAACTTTTGTCATTCCTCTTTATTCCTTTAAGTTACTGTTTCATTGTTTTATTTAACCTGAGTGTTTGAGTGTTCAAATACTTTTACTAGACAGCCATAGGGAAGTCCCACTGAAGGTGAAAAATTCCAAGACTTTGCGAAGAAGTGAAGAAAGGCCCTGCAGCTCACTCAGCAGTGATGAGTCGAGCCAGAGATGAAAAGCAGGCTGGCATCTTGCCTTGCGGAATGACGAGCATTTGTCTTTGGGTCTGTCCAGCTCAGAAGAACCATTTATCTACATGCATCAAAGCTTCAACCGTTCTGCAGTCAGTGGAGGGAAACTGGCCTACCCAGGCCACAATTCCCTTCAAGTCTACATCTAAATTTCGGCAGGAAAACTGCGTTGGGTGAGATGAAGATCCAGCCTGGCAGGGGGTCAGTGACCACCTCAAAAGACACGGGTGTTAGTCGAGAGTGTGGTGGTAGAGCATCCTGAGCTCTGCTTTCTGCTCTGAAAGGCTGTTTGCCCTGTAAATTGTAGGTGAAAGGAGAGGTTTAAGGGGACTGGCAAAAGACAGTCCAGTAAGAATTGCTGTGGCTACCAGCAGACAGTTGGTTTGTTTTTACAGCGTTTCCATATTTCTTTCTTTATAAACATTTTTCTAGTCTTGTTCCTGTGGAACTGACGTGGATCTCAATTCCCTGAAGCCACGTGGATCCCAATTCCGTGAAGCCAGAGTAGTCCCTGAAATAAGCAACGCTGCTCTGAGTCTGAACTTGTCAAAGGCCGTTCAAGTTTGGCACCAAAAGTAGGCGTGATTCCCGGCCCTGTGGGTGTCAGTGGCTGCTCCCTGCCACCCTCCGTGGCATCGTGGTCACCACCTCATGGGGGATGTGGGTGCGGGTCCTCATCTCCCACGCAAGAGGGTAACAGCTCCACAGCTTCTCCGAGCAACCTATTCCAGTGCACCACTGCCCTCCAGTTCAAGAATTTCCTCCCAGCGTCAAATATTTATCTTTTGTCTTTGTTCAATTTTGTGCACCACCTCCAAGCACAGCTAGTTCCCTCTGGTTTCCCTCGACACTTTTCCACTTGCCTGGGTGACGTACCAGATCTTCTTTGAAAGGATACTTTTCCCCCCTTCATGGCAGAGAAAGAATCACTTCCATACCATGAAATCAGATATCCCTTTTCCAATTGCTTTGTCAGCATCCCTTCAAGGGGATCCCAGATGCCTGGCTTCATTGCCCACCAAGTCCGGGCCACGGGCCCCATTCTCCTGTTATCAGAGCAGCCAGGGAGCACAGTGCTCACCCGCGTGACGGCTGAAGTCTTTTCCCATATCTCTCAGCTCGGCCGTGGTCGGGAGTTGAACAGGAGGTTACTGTCGCCTCTGTGAGCTGTGCCTCTTCTGCCTCCCGTTCTTACCATCATAGAATCATAGATCCCAGAATCTTTAAGGAGGGTTGGAGAAGACCTCTAAGATCGCCTAGTCCAACTGTCCACCTCTCACCGATATTGCCCACTAAACCATGCCCCGAAGTTCGACATTACTATTGCGTCCAGTTCTGGAGCCCCCAGCACAGGAAGGACATGGAGTTGTTGGAGCAGAGCCAAGGGAGGGCCATGAAGGTGATCAGAGGGCTGGAGCACCTCCCCGATGGGGACAGGCTGAGGGAGCTTTGGGCTGTTCAGCCTGGAGAAGAGAAGGCTCCAAGGAGACCTTATAGCGGCCCATCAGTTCTCGACTGGGGGCTATGGAAAAGCTGGGCAGGGACGTCTTATAAGGGCATGTTGCGACGGGGCGAGGGGAAATGGCTTTAAGCTGGAAGGGAGTAGATTTGGGCTAGATACTAGGAAGTCATGCTTTACTGTGAGGGTGGTGAGACACTGGAACAGGTTGCCCAGCGAGGCTGTGGATGCCCCCTCCCTGGAAGCATTCAAGGCCAGGCTGCATGGAGCTGTGAGCAGCCTGGTCTGCTGGGGGTGTCCCTGCCTAAAGCGGAGGTTGTGACGTGCGGAATCAAACTCTGTAACCCAAGCAAGATTACAAAGCAGGTCTGGTTTATTCAGTGCTGCGCAGACACCAGGTGCAAGGGGGATAGATCCACCTGCCCTGCGCAGCGTCTGGAAAAACCGTGCTAGAGATATAGGCCAAACTAATATATAACCAATAGTTTTCCTGGAATTGGGATACATATTCATTACACCCCCGAGAGTTCATTAGCGTGCAGACCCTCCCCTCGTGCTCGTGCACAGTGGGTCGTGGGATGAAGATTTGTTGTCTCCCTCGCGAGGGCTTCTGACTTTTCTCGCTGTGAACTCCTGACCTTTTGGGGGGGCATCCCCCCAAACCGGTTTCCTCTTGCCCTGTGGCCATCTGATCACCTCCCTGCCAAAGGTGCTTGGGTTGTTCTCAAACCCTTGTCTTTATGGCCTTCATCCCCCGAGACCTGAACAGCTGCATTTCTGGGTAGGCACTCAGTTTGGGTAGCTGCGTTCTTTTTGGCAAGAGCTTTCTTTGTGGTGGAGGCCTTGGCTAGGTTTGTTGTGAAGGAGGAAGCCAATAGGTGAGGTGGTCTGCTGAGCTGGGAGGGAGGCTTTCCATCGGAAGAGGGGTTGGCCAGCAGGGACAGGGAGGTGACTGTCCCCCTCTACTCTGCTCTTGTGAGGCCCCATCTGGAGTACTGTGTCCAGGTCTGGAGCCCCCAGTACAGGAAGGACAGGTGGTGGAGAGGGCCAGAGCAGAGCCACGAAGACCGTCAGGGGACTGGAGCACCTCCCCTACAAAGACAGGCTGAGGGAGCGGGGCTTGTTCAGCCCGGAGAAAAGAAGGCTGCAGGGTGACCTCATTGTACCTAAAGGGAGCCTACAAACAGGAGGGGAACCATCTCTTGGAAAGGGTAGATAAGTGCAGGACAAGGGGAAATGGTTTGAAGTTGAGGGAGGGAAGATTTAGGTTGGATGTCAGGGGGAAATTCTTTTCAGAGAGAGTGGAGAGGTGCTGGAACAGGCTGCCCAGAGAGGTTGTGGATGCCCCGTCCATCCCTGGAGGTGTTCAAGGCCAGACTGGATGGGGCCCTGGGCAGCCTGGTCTGGTATTAAACGTGGGGGTTGGTGGACCTGTGTGAGGCAGGGCGGTTGGAGATTCCTGATCCTTGAGGTCCCTCCCAACCCCGGCCATTCTGTGATTCTGTGAGGCTCTGCCTTCCCTGCTCGCCCTGCTTGCGCCAACGGCCGTGCCACACTGTGTTTGCAGGCTCTGGCTCTGGCTCTGTTCCGCCACGTTCCTGGTTGATCACGCTCCCGAGAGCAGCCTTTGTACATCCAGCATTTGACCACGTCACTCCTGGCTCCGCTCACAGCGCCACAGAGCCACTGTGCTTCCACACTGTGAGGGGACTGCGGGTCCCTGCCTCTCCCTGAACTGTTTCCCGCAGATCTCTTGCGATGGCTCGGCTTCGTTCTCATCCTATTCCCCTGTTCCCATCTTAGCAATGCGCCGACTTTCTCAGCCGCTTTCTCGTCTTGTGAACTGACACAAGTGTGAATACGGGTGTCTGACTGGCACAGATGGTTCTGTGGCTGAACCACAAGTCCTCTCACAGGCACCTGTGCTGCTGCAGGGCCCGTCACAGGGCTTCGTGCAACCCCGTTACCCAGCGTAAGGGCTGGACAACTACAGGGCCAGTCACAACGGCAGGGCCTGTCACCAGGGTTGAAGCAAGTGCAGGCTCCGTCACGACAGCCGGAGCACCTGCCGACTCCGCTGGAGGGTTGGAGCGGTTGCAGGGCCTGCTGAGGTGTCATCAGCTGCAAAGATCTCCAGGGATGGAGCATCCACAAGCTCTCTGGGCTGCCTATTCCAGCACGTCAGCACTCTCTCGGTGAAGCACTTCCTCCTGCCATCCACCCTAAACCTTCCCTGGCTGAGCTGAGAACCGTTCCCCCTCAGAGCTGACATGCAGGAGGAAAGCCCGAGCTCCGACGCAGCTGAAAGCAGCCGTGGACCTGGCATGCACCCTGAACACGGTGGCATCCCAAGCCCAGACACAAGCCCAGAACCGGGCTGCTCCTGCCAGTGCGGCCTGGGTTCTTGAGGAATGTGGGCCGTGTGCCGCGCTGGGGATGTGGCCCGAACCCAGCTCAGCCCGCACTGGGCCAGGTGAAGTGAGGTCTGGGATAGCGCATTCATGGAGGAGACAACCGTGTTGCCAAGGCCCCGACCTGTGCCCACCTCAGCAAAAGCAGGGAAGGATGAAGCTGACAAATGTGTGTGGGGGGGGAATCTCTGATCTTTATTGTGTTGGACTTTTTGGACCAGAGCAAGCAGGGGAGATGGGAGGGGGGTGCGACCCTGCACATAGCAGGGGGGGGGTTGAAACTAGATGATGGTTGTGGTCTTTTCAACCCACTCTATGACGGGCGCTCGGCTGCTCCTACGCAGACTTGGGGCTGTGTGTGGGGACTTTGTCTCTGAAGTTGTTCCTGGGAGCAGCTTCATTCCCGCGATGTCCTCCGCCACTGAGCCCGCCTCCTGCTGCCTCCTTGGTGTGAGCTGCGGGAATTTCGAGCCCGACGTCTCTGCGGAGGAGGGCTGCGGGTGCGGGTGCGCCGTCGCTGCCTGGACGGTCCCCTGCATCCGGGCACTCTGGAAGCCCTCGGGGATCTGGAAGTGGCAGACCTTGACCGGGTGCCGCTCCGCTGCCCTGGGGCTGGCGTTTGCCGGCTGCCACGGCGTCTTCTTGGCCGGCTCCGGGAACTCGGGGCCCGACCTCGCAGCGGGGAGCGGCTTCGTGTGCGGCTTCTTCCCCGCTGCCTGGGACGTCTTCTGCGAGCAGCTGCCGGGGACGCCCTGGAGGACCCTGATGCCCTCCGCCTGGTGGATGTGTGGGAGTCGCTCTCAGCACTCGGGGCTGCTGAATGTCTGCTCCCACGGCGTCCTTGCAGCTGCTCAGGGGCAGCGTGATCCTCCGATGACCGGGGGCCGTTTGTCTCCTGCTCAGTCTCAGGCACCCTGGGCAGGTCGCTGTGCTCAGGCAGCTGGGAACTCTGTGATGTCGTCCCCAATGCTGCCTGGCTGGCGGGCATGGAGCCCAAGGTCTCAGGCTCCATGGAGCTGCTGGATGGTCCCGGAGCCCTCTCGCTGGCAGTGCAGGGCCCAGCAAGCTCGGTGTTGGCACTGGAGGCTGTAAAGGGAGGCAGGGAGGTCACGAGTCTGAAGCTGCAGCACCACAGTGGGATCTGCCATCCCACTTGGGGCGGACAGACTCTGGCAAAGCTGCCCTGAGCACAGATTGCCTCTTACCGGTACGCAGGGCAGCACAGCTGTTGCACTCCCACGTGGCTGTGGTGTCATTCAAGTGGGAGCACTGTCGGTGGGTGCCCTCAGCAGCGCAGGAGCTGCACAGGAGCAGCTGCCAGGGCCTGGGGAAGCAAAGCGGTTGTGGCCGTGAGGACCAAGTGAGCCAAGCCAGGGAGTGCCCAGCACAGCACATCTCTGGTGCTCAGTCCTTGCTCCGCCAGCCTGTGGAGAGGCTGAGATCCCCCACAGAGCCGCAGCGAACTGCTGCGGTAACTCACCCACTGCTCTCGGCCTGCTCTCTGCCTCCATGGTACAGGCATTCGCTGGCATCACAGTGGCTGTGCCTCTGGAGAACTGGTGGGTCATATTCCATCGTATTTTGTCCTCTGTAAGAGAAGGGAGAGGAAGTGATGTGCCCTTGGTCCCCCTATTGTAATTTCAACAGTATCCCTTCTGTTCCACCCCAGTCCTCTTTCCAGCTTTTCCATGAAGCTGGGGCACATGTTCATATATGACAGCTAAGGCCCAGGCCTGCTGAGACATTCCCTGAGCCGGCCCAGCATTGCAGCCTTAGTGTCAGCCTGACGGGTCAGAGAACACCAACCTGGCAGGGATTTGGATCCCCATGGTGGACATTTCCAAATGGAATAGATCTTCGTCTCGACAGACGGGGCACTGGAAGCCCACAGCACCAACAGTGAAGGCCTGTAGCTGCAGAAGAATCACAAGCAGGGTGAACATTTGTGGTGCCTGCTGCTGCTGATCAACATGTGTATCTGCAGGATAGGGGAGGGCTTCTACCTGGATGCAGTCCCGGTGGAACCAGGCATGTTTACATGCTGGGCACACCAGTCTGTGGTAGGCTGTGCTGTCCCCCACAGGCTCAAGGCAGATGAGGCAGTTGATGTCATGTTCTGGATCTTCCTGAACTGCCTGTCGAGGCCGGTGCTTGCAGCAGTAGGAACTGGTGGGAAAATGGAAGGGATGGCATCGTGAGAAGTGCTCTGAGAAGGGCAGCGGACCAAGGAGTCCCATGCCCTGGCTTTACTTCTGGAGGCATAAGTGCAGTTTCCTCCCTGGCTTGGCTGCTGCTGACAGCCCTTACCTGTGCATCCCAAAGAACTGGGTGACACATTCCCCTTCCACAGCACAGGGCAGATGGAAGCTTCGTTCACAGTCACTCTCTGCACACGTGATGGCAGCCCCCCTCTCACCACAAACAAAGCATTGCTGGAAAAAGCAGAACAGTCCCATCAGCGGCAGGCTCAGTGCCTGCACAGCCGGCCCCATGCAACTCAACTAAGCACAGACTGTGGGTATTTCTGTGTTACGTTCTCCAGAGCTGCCTGGTAGACAAGGTTTGTCTGCTGTGACAGGACTTTGTCCTGGAGCCAGTTGCAGTGGCTGCATTTGCTTTCTTTGGCTCCAGACTAAACTTGTATGAGCCTCCCCTGGCACAAATCTGCCTGCTTTGTTCAGGTCCTCACCTTCTGGGTTGCCTGCTTGACCTTGCGTGTGATGGCAGCAAGGGAAAACCCCAAAATTCCCAACAGAAAGTTGTCTTCTTGATAAAGGCCGGTGGCAAAAAGCTTTTAAAAGAGAAAAGAAGAAATTAATATTTTCTGAACTTAAAGAGGGGAGATTTATCTTAGAACAAGATTGAACTTCCACAACAAGAAGCCAGTCCATGATACTATGATTCTTTGAAATTACAAATCTGTAAAGTTCTCATTAGGACAGAATGGAAGAGACCATTACTTGTGGGAATCCAAAAGGAGTCCCAGGGGAACTCACCAGGCAAAATGAATGGACACGAATCCCGTTCTTCTGACAAAGATACCCTACGATGTCCGGGTCAACATCCGACCGGCCACACAGCACGCACACTGGAGAGGAGAGAGCAAATGTGAGCAGTGGTGAGCAGCTGGCGGGGCCAGATATCCCTGGGGGTCATCCCCGGGGTCGTGCTCTGTGCCTAACATGCTGTCTGGAGGTGGTGGAGAGGAAGAGGCCCTGGCAGGCCCAACGGTGCTAGCAGGAAGCCATAGCCCAAGCTGCATCCCCTTGCCAAGGAGCAGAGGGGTCGTGCCTTGCAGCAGTTGGGGAGTCCCCGCCTGCTTCTTCTATCTCAGCCACAGTCAGACCCACAGCACTTCTCCGCCCTTCTGTGGGAGCTGCAGGGATGCTTTGCACTCACCTGGCTCCTCCAAGCTGGAGGCTTTCCTCTTCCTATCAGACATTATGTGCTTCAACAGTGAAGACTGCAGGAGAGTCTGCTCTCTCTGTGCCTCACCAAGCTGCACTGACGCTTGGCCTGAGCCCAGCAGCCTTTGCTCTGCTCCCAGCCCTGCGGGTCACAATGGCCGCTCTGTGACACCCACTGTGACATCACGGTCACCGCCTCACAGGAGGTGTGGGCGCAGGCCCTCAGCTGCCAAGCAAGGTGGCAGCAGCTCCACAGCTCCTCTGGGCAACCTGTTCCAGAGTGTCACCACCCTCCAATTACATAATTTGCTCCCAACATCCAGTCTATATCTCCCCTCTTTTTTTCCCATATTGTTCATCACCTCCAGCAGAGCTAATTCCTTCAGGTACTTAACACCTTTCTCCTTAGTGGTCCACTTGCCTGGACATCATACTAGATCTTTCTTGAAGGGATACCTTTCCTTTATGGCTACCACTAATCGCCTGTTGTGGCAGACAGAGCCAAAAGGCTCACTGAAGTCAGGGCACACAATATCCACTGCTCTCCTCCCATCTGCCCAACTGATGATGACAATGTGGAAAGCTTCCAGGTGAATCAGGTGTGATTTCCTCCATGAATCCATACTGGGTACCGATACCTTCTACTTTTCCAGTTTCTTGGAGACGATATCAAGATGTTGCTCCACCACCCTTCCAGGGAGAGAGATGAGTCTCACTGGCTGGTAGTTTCAACCTGTGCATGGCGGGTAGTTGGAACTATTTGAACATAAAGGTCTCTTCCATCATAAGTCTTTCCATGATTCTTCAATAACCAACTCTGCTGCAGTACTGTTGCTAAGAGCTTAGTATCAGGAATTCTGGTGGTCGTGGCTGATACTCTTGTGATCTTGTTGAGGCTAAATTTCTGGACAGAGCTTAGCTAAGCCAGAAATATTTTGTCTTCAAAGTTTGTCCCAGATGCATAACCGCTACAGAACACTTTTGTTCTGGGGACAGTAGGGAAAATATTAATTATGCGTGTGATGTCTTATCCCTTTCAACTTTCAATAATGTCAACTCTCTTGACGCTGCTTTCCTTGCCAAGCACTTGAAACACTATTGCATCAGAAAGTATTTGTAATGGACATTTTTTTAAGCATGGAATTTCTAGATCTTTACACCTTGCTGAGCTGGCATTGATGTCTATTTGGTAAGCCCTTTAAGCTATGGTATTGAGATAAAAAACGTTACGTAACCAAAAAATGATCATGATTGCTAAAATGTATATTCATTAACAAAAGTAAGTTCTCCTTTCAACTTCTCCTATTCAAGTAGCACTATAAGCTTTTAAGCCTTCAAGCACCCCTAAACAACATCTTTGCTAAGAATGGCTAGTTAACATCAGTAAAGATATTGGAGAGGAATTCTGTCTTCACTGCAGATAGAAGGGGAACTGTTTGATGTCATTAAGCCCTGAAAAAACTTCTCCCAGGAGGAACATCTCAGTGTTTTTTAAAACCCATGGGTAAAAGCTGAGATGCTCAAAGGTTCAAAGACAGGATGTTGTGATGATGCTATAAGGAAGTGTCCTCTCTTCAGGAGAATGGAACTATTCTCTTGGACAAATGCATGGAGAGATCACTTCCCAGGGCCCAGTGAATTGGCTAAGCAGATCAAGAGGAGACAAGAAAAATAAAAGGCTTCTTTCTGAGAACGAATTTGACAATGGAATGCAGTATAACATAAACCAAAATGAATCTAAATTCGGTCCAAATTCTTCCTGATCAAGGTCCACATGGTACACAAGTTCCAAACAGGCCTAACCGTGTTCTCAGTAGGCATTCAGTACACACAGTTTGAGCTCTGAATGCCCCAAATGTCGAAGGCAACATAACAGGTTTTCAAGGATCCAGGTACATATGTGAAATGATGGCCTCAAGTTTAGATGGGATAGCCAAAGTGTGTCTACAATATCACAGTGTGTCTGTACAGTTGCGGTATTAGCAAAGTACTCCATGGTTCATCTCAGCATAGCTGCAAAAGAAGCCCTACTATCAGTGTGGTGTGATGGAGAGCTGTTATGTTCCTGACGCTGTCTTGCTAATGAGGAATGCAGGTCTGCATCACAGCACAGCACTCAAAGCTTAATTCGGGTCAATATCTAAAACGCCTTACTTGCAAGCTTTAAAATTGGTCTCATATCCTTACCAAGAAATGCTACTGTTCTAGTCTGGTCTAAACCTGGAGAGCATCTCTAGAGGTTCTCTCTTCTCACCTCTCCAGTTATAAGAACAAGATTATATGGGATGTATAAATTTGGAGTAAATACACTATGGCCCATCTATCTATCCATGTATCTATATATCTATCCATTCAGTCTTAACTGGGTGCATACTAACCCCAAAGCTATGATGAAAACTTCTTACCAGCCTTATGCAGAAAGGGGTAAGAACTTCTGGATATTTTATTTAAATGTAAACAATATTATGAAATTACAATTATTTTATAATGTTATTAGCTTTGTTGCATGAACACAGTTCATAGTGACACAGAAAAGCTGTGTTAGTAACAATACCCTAAAACTGTTATTCAGCAAAGCTCTATGAGTGACACTTCTTTCTCTGGTTCTCACATTGCCAGTGTCCTCCTAAGCCCTATCACTAGAAATGGATTTGATCAAACAAGAGCATTTTAAAAGAGGAACAAAGAAAACATGGAAAAGCTGTATTTGTGACACACTGACCTGAAACTAAGGACTAATTTTTGCATGTAGGGTTTTTAAATAAAATGTTTAATTAAAAATGGAACAAATAATATTCTTCATTTGAATGTTTTCAGTTTTAATCCTTGTCCTTTTAGAAGTTTATTTTCTGGAGTGAAAATACCACTCTGAAACGAGAGATTGGAACAATGAAAACGTTCATATTGACATTGTCTGAACGCAGTATTTTATTGGTTCTGAAATTTCCCTTCTGTCTCTTTTCTAAAATAAATTATCCATTAAATTAAAAGTGAGTTTATAAATTATTTCCTCTCAACCTTTTTTTTTTTTTTCTGTAAGGAATTTACTACTCTGTATATACACACATCTGAGTATGTATGTATATATGCCTATATATATGCCTATATATATGCATATATATATGTATATATGCCTGTATATGGACTGAGACTGATTTCTCAGTTGTGCAGAAAGATTCACAGGAAGACTGAGGTATAAGAGGCTGTTCATGAGGCAGTAGGGGAGGCTCATAATAACGTATATCTTCCCAGCTACAAGGACATCGACACTCCAGCAAGGAGAAGGCTTTTCAGACGTCGTGCTGCTGGTTGTTGCCAGACTCTTGCTCCCTGGAGAGACAGTGCAAGTGCCTGAATACTGCCCTCCATCCATTTTGCAGTCACTGCATCCTGCTTGTCCCTGATGGCACAGGGGAATAGCTGTTTCTTTTCTGACTCAACCAAGCCTATGCAAGATACACATTTTCCATTCCTCCGCTGCTGAAAAGCCAGCAATCCATTAGGGCTCTGCTGGCTGGATCTGACATTTCCCAGGTGCAGATTAACACCCCCTTGGGGCCTGAGCACCATGAAAATCAACTCATCGCTTGCGCATCACTTCCTATCACTGCTCCCAGAAAAAAGAAGCCCCAGCACCTGCCAGTGCCTGCTGGCATGGTTTACAGGGTGTTTGACTAGGCATGGGAGGGACAAATGGGAAAACAGTGGTGTGCCATTCATAGTGTGAAGTCTTCAGGAACAGTGTTGGTTTGGGGTATTCCTACTTCCCCCTAGTCACTCCTTTAGGATGTGGATTGATGATACGTAGGCTTTGAAAGTGGAATCATCTTAAGATATCTCTTCCTCTTTCTGGCTCTCCCTGCTTGGTTCCATCCTCTTAGCTGAGCTACCTCAAGGATGTATGGTCCATGCTGCAAAGGAGCAACTGACCCATATCCAAAATGTGTGCCTCTTCCTGTAGAACTTGTGTGTGTCTCTTTTTGAAATCAGAAAGGAGCCGACTCCATGTTTTGTGCAGTTTTTGGCCGTTGCTCCTCATCCTGTCACTCTACAGCACTAAAAGCAGTCTGGCCTCATCCAATTGCCTCCCGCACTTTAGATCTTAATAAACATTAATCAGATCCTCTCTCAGTCTTCTCTTCTCCAAGCTAAACAGTCCCAGCTCTCTCAGCCTTTCCTCATACAGGAGATGCTCCAGGCCTGTCATCATCTTTGTGGACTCATTCTAGGAGATCCCTGACTTTTGTGATCTGGGGAGCCCAGAATTGGACACAGTATTCCAGCTGTAGCCACACAAGGACAGAGTAGTGACAGAGGATCAGCTGCCTTGTCCTGCTGGCATTCTTTTGAATGTACTCCAGGATGCGATTGGCCTTCTTGGCCACAAAGTCACACTGCTGGCTCATGCCAGAAGTAGAAGTGTGGAATGATTCTTTCCAAAATAGCCTTACGTCCTTCAGACAACTGTAATTCTCAGACCTTACCAGAAAGCGCTTTTAAATTCAGCAGTTATGGGTGGATATTTCCACCCATAAATTTCCCAATCTTTTGACTACGTGACCCTTAATGGAAGCATTGGTGTCCATTCAGTTGTATCTGTGACATTCCCTGATGCAGGATGGTCTCATGCAGAGTGAACTTTGTCCAGCTGCTAAAATTATGCAGGCATCTGGGTTATTCAGGATATCTGCAAGGGCGTGATAAAGGTAACACCAGCCCTTAAGGCATGCATGTCCAACCTTTTGGCTTGTCCAAGCTGCACTTAGTAAAGGGGAATTGTCTTGGGTGGCATAGACAGGTGCTGCTCCAAAAGTAATGCTTCCTAATTATTTCCATGGAAACTAAACCAATACAAAGAGCACAATAGCAGTATTTGATAGAGCAAATTCTCAGCTACAAAACACTATTTTTTCAATACTGTCACCACCAGCAATAAACAACATCCTGCATGCCACACTCATAAGAGTCTGATGATTGTGAAGCCCACTGCTTCACAGTGTTCCACCACCTCACTGTTTGCTCGCTATAACTGTTC